CGTCGTTATTCTGTTGTCTGGCACAGGCGGTGCTGCTTAATGGTTTCAGAAGCTTCCCGCCTTGGTCTGGGAAACGAAGTCCTGGTCCAACAAGCTACAAGCAGAGGTGGAACCAGCCTGAAGAAACGGGTGGGTTGGTTTGAGAGGTGTCCGTGAACATGAGCTCGACAGGCAAAAGCCTGTGCTGTTGGGTGATGGAGCGGTGGGAAGCAGCGCTGCTGGAGCTGCCTGGTGAGCTGATGCCACTAGATGGAGTGGAATAGCCACCATCAGGGCCTGGGTGAGCTCTGGGGTTTGGATTCCATCATCCTGTTGTCAGCCGAAGTCATATTGGAAGTGTTACGGGGGGAGCATGGGAGGGGGATGTGAGAAACTGATATTCAGGACTTTGTAAAGGAAAATATTTAGCTACAGAACGTGGCTTCATTTGGGTCACTTCAAAAGCGAGGTGAAAGCCGTTCTGAATTAGCTCTCAAAATGCTGGTTTTAAATCACTGTTAGCAAAGGCTGCGTGGCCAAAGCGTTTATTCCTCCGTCCTTGCCAAGTTCTGTATTTTAACACAAAGTTTTGCAAGAGCTTTGTTCTTGTTTTGAAGGAGAAAGCTGTTAAGCACAAAGAAAACAGTTGCTGCAGCCGCCTTGTCCTATTATAAAGGTTAATCAAAAGCGCAATAGAAGACCTTGCTGAGGACGATAACTGTCCTTGCCAGGTAACAACTTGTCTCGAGTCTGGGACTTGTTCTCCATGTGCCTCAATTGCCCTTGAGGACTATCGCTGAGCTAAACGTGTTGTGTTGTGCCTCTGAGCAGAATTTAGGGTAGGGTGAAGGCTGGGCTACTCAGCGTGGCCTGAAGTCTTGGCTAGTCATCACCCCACGCAGCCAACACAACCGCGCTGCGCCTCCCTCCCGTCTTAGTGATGTCTTTAATTACTCAGATGCTATTACTACCTCCTGCGATGGGCGGCATAGATAACTTTAAAGACTGAAACCTAATGAGTGAGAACGAGCTTTGCAAGCTGTCCCGTGTTCGTGTTTGGAAAGAAAAGGAACTCGGAGGAGGAGTTGGGCTCTCTGGGAGGAAGAAGGCGGCACGGGGGCTCCTGCAGCAGGAGTTGCTCAGCGTGCCCATCGCGGGCAGTTTCCCAGCCCAGGCCTAGCGACGCTTTTCTATCGGCAGAGCTGCGTTCGGTGCCACTCAATCACATTCCTCTGAAGTCGTTCTTCATGTCTTTGCGTCTTCTTCACATATTTACTCTCGCACATAGTACTGGCAGTGTTTACTCTGCAAAGATTCCTCTAAGACTCAGCTAAGCACACAATTTATTCAGCTAACAAGGACTGGCATTTATTGTGGGTATCTTTGTGTACTTGCCGTTCTTTAGTCTCCGTTGACATTCAGTGGGAAGCGTTAAAACAAACAGCAGCACGCAGTAGGAGGGTTGCCTGTACCAATGCTCCTCTGAAATAGCTGAACGAGCCTGCCTGCTCGATGGCGGCCGGGGACGGCTCCCACCGGTCTGCTGCCAGGGAGGAGGGAAAAGCCTCTTCGAAACAAGTGGGCTTTGGGGGAAATTGTTATCTTTGGAAATTAAGCTTTTTTTTTTTCCCCCCTCCTTTCTTTGCAGTGCATGTATACCTTCCTTTCTTTTTCCCTTGAGCTTTGCACTGATTGCAGCTAACGCTTCCCGAGAACGGGTAAGGAAGTCGCCCTATGGAATAACTCAAAGTTCAAGTTTCTAGCGGGCAAGCTTTTGGGTGGTTTAGCCCTGGATTTGTTATTGCCTGGTAGAGCAATTTAATTGGGCTAGAGCAATTAACAGAGCAGGGTCTCTAGAGCCAAGGGCATCTTGGGGTCTCACTCGCTGTCGGCAGCGGGAATGTTTGCCTGGAGGGTGGAGGGCTGGGGCTCGGTTTGCTCCTTGAACCTGTTGCTGAGGAGAGCTCAGCTGTATGTGGAAACAAAGCAACCAAAGGCACGATAATTTATGTGATTAGTGAGTTTCTTCATTTAAACAGGGTTCACGGCAGGTCCTTCTTGTTTCTGCCAGTCCCTTCCGTCGGCCAACGGGATCATACCGTGCTCCGGCGTGATGCATCACGCTGTTCTGCAAAGGCTGGTGAGAACAGCTCTGCAGTGCCTTTGTTCTGAGCCTTGTTTCTGCGATTTCTGGTTCGTGTAGCTGGAAGCCTGCAGAATTTCAGCACACCCAGTCAGCTGCCGCTCTCGGGGAGAGCGAGCTGCTGAGCAGTGGATGCCCTGCTTGGTGTGCAAGCCTGATGCCAGAGAAGAATCTCAGTCAGTTTGCTTGTCCTTTAGTTTCTTAGCAAGCCAGCATTTGTCAGGAATACTGAACTGAATTCATGTTTACCTTTTGAGGTAACAAATTCCTACCACAGCAGGCTGAAAGCTGCAGCCAGCGCTGCCCCATCCTCCTGCCAGCTCTGAGTCGTCAGAGTTTCCTACTGGCAAAAGGTGAAGGCTCTGGATTCTGTTGCCTGTGTTGCTTGGACGTTCTTGGCATTAATTGGCTGCAGCCTCTGCTGAGTAATGAAAAGCAGAAGGACGATACGCAGGCTCAGCCTTGAAATCACAGTAGAGCTGTTCTTGAGCTGGGGCTGTTCCAAAATCTGCCATCAAAAACGGGTCGAGACAGGGTCCGACAGTTCAGGACACCCATCTCCCTCCGGGTCCCGTTCTGCCCCTCCGCGGCAGTGAGTCACCGTGCAGGGCGTAAGTACCAGAAGCCTGTAGGATCAGCCGGACTCTTCCCCGTGAAGTTAGCGGGGTTTTACTGCCCACCTCGCTGCTCTTGCCAAGTGCTCTGCGAAGGGTGCCTGCACCCTGCCGCTGCGAAAAGCGTTCTGGCTGACCCCGGGCTGCGCGCTAGGCAGGCTGCCAGGGAGCAGGGCAGGAAAAAGCTGATACGGAGGAGCCTGTTTGCTTTTGGACCTGGCAGCTCCTGTGCGTGCTTCACACTTGCTTGCTGACGTGCTCCGACCCTGACCCCGACGGCTACAGCTGTTCTCAGCTCGGCCTCGCCATCGGGGACCGTCAGTCTGCTCGTCCTCCCGTGCTGCTGGTGGAAGCTGCTTGCGGAGAGGGATAAAGGCACGGCCAAAACCCTGACTGTTGGGGGCTGGCGGGGGTGCGAGTCAAGTTTTGCTTCGAAGTCGTTGCAGAACATCTCTGCTTTGGCCGTGTCTGCCAAGTACGGCCGCCTGAAGGCACGGGGGGTAGAGCTGCGTCGTCCCGGCTGCGTGCTGGGCAGGTGCTGTGGGCTGCAGGGCGGGTACTGGCCTCGGGCGTACGATCCAGGGCTCTGCTGCTGCCCCATCCCCATCAGACATCGCTCAGCGCCTAACAGGGATGCAGGAATTCATCTGGCTCCGAACACCGCATCCCCCAAAACATAGGCTGGGATCAGGGAATGGCCACTGCTGCGTGCTTGGGATGCACTCACTTTTTTGGTGATTATTTTTGCTTTTAATACGGTTTCAGTGAACTGTTCTCTATTTGCCACTCCATTTTGTGGAAATGTCCAGGTGTGTCTCATGTCCAGCCCTGATTTCTGCCGAGCGTGTGGCCAGTTTGTGGCTCTGTGGTGCAGGCACTGCTTGGTGGGGTGGCAT